AAAGATTAAGAATGAGTCCATGTCCCATTTTTGCTCTACCTTTTTGGGTGAGACAAAAACTTAGAGTTTTTTTTTTTACGTGTCAATCGCAATCTAATGCATTTCAAACACAGAACAACCTGTTATGTTGTTGTCGTGTGAATATTCTAAAGATACTTGATAATTATGTCGTACAGAATGATTGATCCACAGCCAGGGTATTCAGTATATCGAGAACCGAGCTATGGGCATGGGATTTTTGAGATCAAGAATAAGACTCATGCATACTTTAGGTGGCATCGTAATCAAGATGGATATGCTGTTGAAGGAGACTCTTTACGTTTTGAAAATTTATATTGGAAAGCATCACAAGATTCCTTGGCAACATCGTTCTGAGGTGGAATTTCAAGATCACTTTGAAATCCACAAATGAATACTTTCGTTGGAATTTTTATATGTTGTTTTTAATAAATTAAGGTGTGTGTTATAAAATGAGTCGTTAGGTTGATCTCGTCAATGTTCATGTTAAACATTATATGGAGTAACGACGAGTGAAATGACAAATCTACAACTTAATATTTCATTTGAATATATTTTGTATGGGTTATTTTAAAAAAAAATTAAATATAAAGGTCTGAATATTTGAGAACTTGGAATTTATAAGAAAATAAAAAAAGTTAATTATTATAATAGAAAGATTTTTTATCTTTTAAATTTAAACAAATAATTTAAATAAATAAACGAAAAAATTAATGAGCTTTAATTTTGAGAATTTTGAAATTAATAGGTAATTCATTAATGACATTGATATCCATTTATTATTATATCTATTGCAATTATTACATTAAAATATTATGTGAAATTTAAAAAAATATAAAAACTTATAAAATGACATGTGAAAAAAAATTAATTCAAAATAACTACAAAAATGACATTTAACAAATTAAATAAGAGTGTGACAAGTGAAAAAAAATCCTTTATTTATTAGAATGAGTTTCCACATCAAGCATCATCATATAATTTTGACAAAATTACATAAATGGTTATTGTGGTTGATACAACTGACCAACTTCGGTCCTTATGAAAATGTTTGTGCATAGATGGTCTCTATGGTTTCAAAATCTTAGAAAGACAATCATTTTGGCTAATAGTCTTAACTTTTCAGCTAAGTATCTTGTGAAATGACACATTTGCCCTTCCTACCATAGGGACCATTTATGTACTTTGTTCCAGCAACATGGAGCATTTATGTAACTTCGTCTATTTTTTATCATTAGTTTTATATAAATTATACATATTTCTATGATTTAGATTTTTTGTGTTTTTTAATATTTTTTTCCTTTACATTTTTTAATATTTTGTTTGTAAATTTTAATTTTTTTTTGACATTTTGTTCTAATACATTTATTAATATTTATTTTGACTTTTTGTTTGAATAATATCTTCTATTTTTATTTGATTTTTTGTTCAAATATACATTTTAATGTTTATATATATATATATATATATATATATATATATATATATATATATATATATATATATGTTTATATTTATTAAAGATTTCATGGTCATTATAATCATAATTTTTAACTTACTTCACTTACAATCATATTTTTTTGTTTGTATATACAGATAAGGCTTTATAAATATTATTTAAAAGGGAAAATTTCATATATGTCATTTTTAAACACCAAAATATCATATTTACTAAACTTAATTTCTAAATATCATATTTACCCTTCATAAAATTTCTAAATATCATATTTACCCTTCATAAAATTTCAAAATATCATATATGTCATTTTTAAACATCAAAATATTATATATGCCATTTTTAAATATCAAAATATATTATATGTACTTTTTAAACATCAAAATATTAATGGTAATATTTAATATCTACAGCATGATAATAATCAACAACAAAAACTCAACAATCAAAACATACATTCTATAGAAAGGGTTGAAGATGAATCTTTTTGTCTATCAAGTGACCGACATTCCAACAATTTAGAAGTTCATATTCAATTATCATACACATAAGAATAATATTGTTAAATTTCTTAATTATTATAATAATTCTAAGGTATAAAAGATTATTATAAAATATTAAAAACGTTATAAAAAAGATTTGGACAAATATGATATTTTGAAGGTTTATGAAGGGTAAATATGATATAAATAAATTAAACCAGGAATATGATATTTTGAAGTTTAAGAGGGACATATATAAAATTCTCCCTATTTTATAATTCAAATATATAACTATATAACACATATAAGGTTAGGGGAATTGTCAGAAAAATCCCAATACATTTGAAAAAGTTTAACTTTAGTCATAATTTTTTTTAATAGAAAAGTCACTATTATTTGATTTTACATGATAATATGTCGTTTCCTGTTAAAAGAGGAAAATATTTGTTTATTAATTTGAGCCAAAATGAATTAATTGTGACTTTTATGTTCAATTTTTGTTGGGATTAAAATGAAACCTTTTCAAAAATATTGAGATTTTTCTGATAGTTTCCTTATAAGGTTGTATAATTATTATTTTTGTAAAGCTTTTTATAAACATTTTTTTTTATAAAAAAAGGTAAAAAAATCTGTTAAATGTGAATATGATTAATACAAATTAGGTACACATAGGCTAACCTAAGACTCTCTTATAATCTTGACGGGAGCGACTATGTCATTTCACACTAGACTTAACTTTAGTATTTTCGAGTTATTTAATTCTTTTAGATATTTTTTTCGTTTTCGATTTTGGATTCCGATTAGCCTATCTATATTAATCATATTCACATTTAACAAACTTTTGTACATATTAAAAAAAATGTATATAAAAAACCTTAATAAAAATAATAATTATACAACCTTATATATGTTATATAGTTATATCTTTGAATTAAAAAAATAAAATTATTTAACATTATTTATATTAAAAATAAATAGAAAAATAGGATTGTAAGTAAATTAAGTTATGAATTATGCCTAAAGTGAGCATGAAATTTTTAACAAATATAAACAAAAAAATGTAAAAAAATCATTAAAAAATATATTTGAACAAAATGTCAAAAAAAATAGAAGAAATTATTTAAATAAAAAGTCAAAAGAAATATTAATAAATGTATTCGAACAAAATATCATATATATATATATATATATATATATATATATATATATATATATATATATATATATATATATATATATATATATATATATAGACACACACACACACATACACAAACAGAATATAAAAAAACGCAAGTGAAAGAACAAAAGAAAATAGAAAAATATGATTGTAAGTAGGGTTGTAAACGAACCGAACGTTCAGGGAACTGTTCGTGAACCATTCGGCGGGAAGTTCGTTTATGTTGGTTTATTTAATAAATGAACGAATATGAACATAAATTTATGTTCGTTCAGTTAAACGAGCGACCATGAAGAATGATTTCGTTCGTTCAATTATGTTTATGAACGTTCATTTATGTTGTTTATTTACGTTTGTTTATGTTTTAGGTTAATTTAGGTTAAATGTTGGATTCATTAGGTTAATTTAGGATAAAAATAGTGATTCAAATAATGTACAAATATAAAGGTATTGAGATGTAATTTATAACAAATTTATGTTGGAGTATTTTATATTTATTTAAAAGTGCACAATGACATGATGATAAAATCACAATGGAGTAAATCCCAAAGGAATGAGTGACATGTGGCTTTAGGAGTATTTTATTAAAATGCAAGATCAGAAAATTTTATGCACCATCACCGAGAACCCTAATACACATCAATTATTTTAAAATTGGATTCAAAGTCATTAATTACATATAACCATAATTCTATGGAGAGAAAAATGTTTTATTTATTTATTTTCTATAAATTCAAACATTTTACATGCTTTCCAAAATTGTTGTTCTTTTTTGATTTCACTATCAATTTCACTATCACAGGACTACAATACCCACCCTCATGAAACCACTAGAAAAAACATTATTATGAAATTGTCTAGGAAATAACCAAAATGACCATCCTCATTAACCTAAACTAATTTCTTGATGCAATTAAAACTAAAGCAAATTTTGATCACTTTCAGAAGCAAATTCCAAAAATATCATTTCATAAAAGAACCAAATAGACATAAAAAGAACAAATTCACTTTTTTTGGCATTCGTTTATTTCTAATGTATTCAATTTCTATAATTTTCTAAAATTGACCATTATATGATCATCCTTAATAATCCCAAACAACCTGCTGGTGCAATTAGATGTATCACATACTATGGTAGTTTGCAAAAAAAAAAACATTTTCTTTTTATGCAATTCCAATCTTTTGAAATCTATGTTACCAATCTCTTCTTAAGACTGATTTCCCAAAACCCACAGATTATACCATGTTCATAATCTCGGTGTTTTCTCTAGTCTTCATAAAATAACAGAAATCTATGTTAACAATCTCTTCTTAAGACTCATTTCCCAAAACCCACAGATTATACCATGTTCGTAATCTCGGTGTTTTCTCTAGTCTTCATAAAATAACAGGAAAGTGTAATAGAGGACTAAAGTTACAAGATTATTACCTTTTGAACAAATGAGTAAAGTTATATAATTTTTATTAATTTAAAAATACACTTAATCTAGAAATGTGCTTATACATATGGGTTACTGAATGGAGATAAATCGTGCTACTAAATGGGTAATTAGAACCTTTTGAGTTTTAAATTTTGAATGGAAAAGCTTGAATTGTAATATGGCGAGAATTGTAAGAAGTGAAGGGCGTTTTTAGAAAGCCACCTTCATCACCAACGTTTGTGGCATGCTGACCATATTTCTTTTTATGCGACTTTAAGTTATGTTATACTTCCAGTTTGTGGCATCCTGCATTACAAGCTTGTTGCTTGCATGTGAACCTCCATTTATCACATTGAATGCTAGTACAGGCAGCGCCAAGGTCTTGTTTCCAACAAGGTTTGTCTGAAGCTGTGTGTGTGTTATTTATTAAGAACAAAAATAAGTCAAAAAACTTGTACGTGCAACAAGCAAGTAGGAATCTGAATGAAGCCTTGTAGTAGAAGATCAACATCCTCCAAAAGATGTTGTGGAACAGGAGTGATTATGCAGAGAACACGTCTCAAAGGGTCTCCCCTAACAATTCCTGAACGCAATATATATAAATGTAGGCCCAGCAATTGGGTTGAGTTCGGGTTAGTGGGTTGACGGGTTGAAATTCAGAAACTCAACTCAACCCATATAATATATGGGTTGGCGGGTCACGGGTTGACGGGTTAGAAACATCAACCCAACCCAACCCATATAACCCGTATAAATATATGGGTTGGCGGGTTCACGTGTCAGTGGGTCGAACCCAACCCGTATAACCCATTTAATAAACAACACATTTTTAGATGAAATTTGAAAAATCCAAATAAAATGAAGTCTAAAACTCATAAACATTAAACATAAATTCATAAACATCCAAAATAAACATTAAACATAAAGTCATAAACATCCAAATAAAACTCTAAAAATCAAAACATTCATGAAAAGTGCAATTGTTCAAACATAATGTAGAGTGTAGATTGTTACTTACCGTAGAGAGAAAGGAAGGTGGGTCGAAAACGTCAAAGCTGAAAAGAGTAAGTGTGAACATCGATGAGCAGATGATGAACGGGTGAGGATCGGACCGATGAGTGATTAAATCGTGAGTTCGTGATGTTGCTTCCTTCGAAGATCAGTCCTTAACTCCTTAATCTTTATCCTTCGTTCAATCGTTCATGAATGTGGAGACTGGAGCAGGTGAGGAACAATTTTTTTATTAGGGCATGCAAATACGTAATGGTTGGTTGCACAAGGACTCAACAGTCAACACTCAAGGAGTCACGGTCAAAGATGGATGATGGGATCATGAGACACAAGCCTAACAGTAGCCCACAACAAAATGCCACATTGCCCAAACATATGGCTGATGATATACGAAATTACGAACGAATACCAAATTAAAATTTAAGGATATGATAAATAGAAACTAATAGTATAATATGATCTTAGATTGTTAAAAATTAAAATAAATAGATAATTAAATATATTAGGCGGGTTGGCGGGTTGACCCGCGAACCCAAACATGTAACCTAACCTAACCCATTAAATAAACGGGTTGGCGGGTCAGAAATCTCAACCCTAACCCTCTTATTTTCGTGTCGGGTTCGTGTCGGGTTACGGGTTGGGTCGAGAGTTGCCACTCTTATATAAATGCATTATATATCTTAGGCCTTGTTTCTTTTTTCACATTAAGTGTTGTCTGTATACAATATAAATGATGTTTAAAAAATAACATACCAAGGCTAACACATTGAGGTAGATTCCCAGAACCTAGACAACTAACTGCTAATCCAACTATACTTGCATTCAAACTGTAGAAAATTTCAGCCTCCGGCACATGGTGTTATACAAAAACTATATTAAATGATGAGGGCATTCAAGTATTTTGCACAGATGAGAGATCATGAGCGACAATAAAATGCAAAGTTTTGTCCCATTGACATGTTGAGGTAAACTTGAGTATGAAGGTGTTTAATGTTGACAGCTAACATGGAAACTTGATAAGGAGGATGACCAGCCAATGCTTGAGCAATTTTTTTTTAATTGAACTCATCCTCATGTCACTTGGAAACAGTGTCTAAAGTATGTCATGATACTTAAATCACGTATATGGCATGAATCTTTGTGTACAATTACACTGAATAAGCAATATGAATCTTCACTAATGATTGAAATCAATCTGCATAAGAAGAACTCAAGAGGGATACATATGATCGATTTAGGGAGTCCTTGAGGGATGATTTGATTTCAATTAAGATTACTTCCTTAGTAGCGTCCGTATCTTGAGACCAGAATGTTCCGGAAGGTAGATTCTTAATTTTAGCATACACAAAAGTGTTAACCACATGAATAAGAGCAATATGGTTCAACATGTCCATTAATACGGTTGTAGTTGTGACTTTAGAAGGCTCTGTCATTTTAAATCATCCTGAAAAAAATAAATTGAACTGATTCGTGAAAAAGGTTCCATATACAATATATGAAGCAATCAAGTCTAAAATCCAAAAGATAAAACGGTTGATGATTGTTAATCAAGCAAAGCAATAGAATTTGGAAGTACAACCCTAAATTTCCATTGGGAATTATAATAAGATAACATCAAATAATCAAATTGAATCTTCTTGGAAAGGGAAACCAAAGATGTAAAGGATTGAGAATAAAAAATCTGAATAAAGGGGAATCACACCTGAAGCTGATGAATCTGAAAAACAAAACGACGGAGGAGATTTGCTTTGAGAGCCTTTGACGATGGCTGATTGTGTGCAGAGAAAAGTGAGGAATGAAATTGGGTATGAAACATAAGAGGCAAGATGCATATTAAGGCGCTTGTATATTCGATGATGATGTCATCAAAAATGATCCAATGGTGGAGAAATAGGAGTGAAATAAAATCAAGGGTCCTTATTTCTTCAATTTAGATTTTAAGGTTCTCTTTTAATAATATTTAAAGATAGTCCAAAAAACATTTCACATTTTCTTGACACATAGTACTTCTAACATATTACTTCAATTTAGAGTAATCGATCATTGAAAAAAAGTCAAGCATATATGACATTTAAGCTATGTTTAGCATAGTAGCTTACTCTTGTTAGCTGAAAACTAGTTGATATCTGAAAAACTAGCTATTAAATAAAAAAATTAGCTGATAAAAACAGATGTTTCATAAAACTAGTTGAAAAGCTAGCTGAAAAATATAAAAAGATATAAACGGATGTTTAAAGGAAAATGTATTTCTATGTTTAATTAAGGGGTATATTTAAAAAAAATCTTAAAAAGCTCTTAGAAAGTTAGTTTAAATAACTTTTTTTAAAAAGTTAACTTCTAAACAACATTTTAGCTTACCAAACATAATAACTTAAAAAAGTTCAAAAAATAAACTATCTTATTAATTAGTTGCGACGCGTCAAACACAACCATAAATCCTTTATAAACATTGATCTTGAAAAAAAAATAATTAAATATAATAAAATATTATAACATCAATAGAATATTGAATTAAAAATATTAATGACTTACCAACATTATATATATATATATATATATATATATATATATATATATATATATATATATATATATACTACTTTATAAAAGAAATCTTACTATTTCTATAAATAGAATCAATATAATAATAATAATATTTCTTTTAATACGTTCAAGTCTTTAAGCTTAAAGTACAACCAACTATTAATATAAAAATATTATAATATATATCTTACAAATGATAATGCTTGGGATACAAGTATTAAGAACACATTTAAATTAGTATTTCCTTATTTTTAGGGATTGAATTAGTATTTTCATCAATTTTAACCCAACTTGTACTCCTAAAATATCTCTTCTCTGGTATCTGGTGCATTCGAAATCTGAAACACTTCTTTTCGACAAATCATTTGAAATTTAAAAGCTCATTCAAATTGGGGTTCCTTAATTTTTTGCATAAAATATAGTTGACTGAAAACTAATTTAAATCTTCATCTCCTTTGCCTCCATGGAATCCACCACCACAATATTTTTTGGTTTTGGCATTGCACTTTTTATTTTTGTGAAACCGATCAATAATGGTGCAAGTGTTTTTAGAAATATAACATGTCTCCGAATGGAACTAATTGCTTGAAAGAAACTATTCGCCGCCACCGTTTTGCGCGGGAAAACGTGTATATATATATATATATATATATATATATATATATATATATATATATATATATATATATAATGGGTAAGGTTTCTGTGAGGACTCATCTTAAGGTTCCTGTGATGACTCATTTTAAAAGGAGGACTTGTGAAGACACCTTAACAAAATTGAAAAAAAAAATATATTAAAAATATACAAATCATAAAATCGAGTATAGGTGTATGTTCAGGGGGAAAAATTGGAAAAAAAAGGTGCATCATTAAAATTAATCCATAATTCAATTTTAAATTTTTATTTTGCATATCATTATGATCCATGATTCAATTTTAATGATCCAATTTTTTTTTCTCCTGGATATCAATCCATGTTTGATTTTATAATTTGTATTTTTTTAAAGATTTTTTTAAAATTTCTTTTAGTTGTCCTCACGAGTCCTCATTTTAAAATAAGTCCTAATCCGATCCTGTTTATATATATATATATATATATATATATATATATATATATATAGAGAGAGAGAGAGAGAGAGAGAGAGAAAGAGAGAGAGGAATGATCATTTGAGAACCTATACTTTCCCAAGAACCCGAGAACCAAACAAGGCTCGTTAGATCAAAATAACAGAGGGTCAAGATGATTTATGGCATTTTTGTAAAAACTTGGAAATAAAAAACATGGAGGTATCTTATTTCAATTTGTTAGATGGCATTTTAGGGATAGAAAACTTATATCTGATCCTGTCAAACCTTTTCTTTATACTATTTCTCTATGTTCATCATCAAATCTCTCTCCCTCTCGCGTTCTTCATTGACGATAAAGACGACTGCCTCCTCCATCATCCTTCGTTGATCGCCTCCCTCCTACCTTCACTGGCCACCTCTACCTCTGTCGACCACCACACTCCTTGATATCACGTTCTTCATAGGAAAAATTCCAATGAAGATGCTTTGATTTTGAATCGTTTTATCCTCCATTAATTCGTTCCCCGGAGTACACCATAATCGCCGACTTCATCTCGGCCTCCTCTGTGGATTGAAGACCTGAACGGAGAAGAAGATTCTTTGTTAATCAAGAATTCAAAGTGCAATCAATATGAAAAGTGCATCTGGTCTCGATTGATATACTTACGCCTGAAGCACTTGACCTTAGCCTATCAGACTATCCCATAACTCTCAATATCGGTCTCAATTTTCCTCCACTAGAAGTTGCCTAGACATAAGTTTTTATTTTTCTGCATTTCTTCGGTTTTTTAGATCAAATGTCACTTTTGCTTTTCTGCATTACCAAAATTAAGTTGACAATCTATATGCTTGTTCGTATTATGATTTAGTTATCAGACTCAATATAAGATGTGATATTGAAATCACTTAGATTTTAGAAGTTTTCTTATTAACACGAATATTTTCGTGAAAATATAAAACTCTACTGCTCTTTTCCTTCATGTGTTGCCTTATGAATATTGTTGTTCTCTTTAGCATGGACCTTTCTGGTGAAAATATAGTCAATTTGTATTCAAAGTGTCAGCTTTTCTGAAGTGCACACAAGTTGCTTGATGAAAGTCCTGAACCATATTTAGCTCCTTTGCTTTAATTTTAAGGTAGATTGGCTTAATACAAATATACAAGTTTGCATTCCTTTGTTCACTTATAATAATCCATGATATTTTCTTAGGATTTTATCGGAGTTCTATTTGTAGTTAACCTTGTTTGTATATGAGATTCTATGAACATACTTAGTGGTGAATCCAAGAAGATCAACCAATTGGTAAGTAATATTCTAATTATCCCATTCACATATTTTTTTAAAGCATCAATAGCTTTTAATTATTTCATATCTTCATATTTCCTAGGTGCTAGTAGACCTTGTGATTGACCATTTAGTTCAAGTTGATGTTTCAAGAAGTTCAAATGGTGAACTTTGCAAATCCTTAAAGTTTTCAAATTGAAAACAGAAATGATTATGGATTTGTTAAAGTGATAAGAAATTTAAAACAAGGAAGGAATCCGGTATTCGGACAAAATAAGACTTCTACATTCAACTTGAAAACTGAAATTTTTATGCCTAATTTGTATTTTGAGTGAAAAATGGATGTATGAAATATGAATGTTCTAAAAAAAATTCCAAATGAAGTCATACACATGCTTAAAGAGTTTATATGCACAGTAAGTTGGAATTCAAAAGGTTGTGCATTTGATAGAAGGTCTCTAGATGTTTTTTTTTATTAAAACAAGTTTTGTTTAATTCATTAGATATTCTGAAAGTTGGTTAAAGAAGTGGCACCAATTGACAAGTTATCTAATGATACCTTGAAGATTTTGTAATAATAATTATTATTGGTATTTAGAAACTGCTTTAAGTTTATTTGTAATTATAAGTTATAACCGCATTTTTTTTAATATATTGCATGTTGATGTTATTATTGTTTGGATTATGAAAACTAGGAAAGTGCCGAGTCAAACCCTTTTTATAACCGAACTCTTTTAGCAGGTAAATTCATTTTCCTTGGAGAAAGTTACACATTTGATCTCTGAATATAACTGGTTTTTGCAAATATGGTACCTAATTCCAAATACTAAGACTTTAGTTTTGGTACCAAAATTGCAAAATCAGCTTTACTCAGGGGATAAAGGTAGACATTTTACCAGTACGTGGACCAAAAATGTTACGAAAACTAAAATTGCATGAAAAAATTTATCAGGACCAAACTTGAAAAATTCAAATATACTTGCGGACAAAAAAAGGTTGATAAAAAACTACAAACATAATAAATCTTGAAAGTTTAGTCATTTCCTATAGGCAAAAAAGGTTGATAACCTGTAATTCACATATGGATTATATGTAATTCAAATATAAATCACATGTTATTCACATATGAATCACATATAATTCACATATGAATAACATGTAATTCACAAGCGAATCACATATGAATTACATGTGATTCACATATAAATCACATATGATTCACATATAAATCAAATGCGATTCACATATAAATCACATGTAATTCACAAGTGAATGACATATGAATTACATGTGATTTACATATAAATCACATGTAATTCACGTATAAATAACATGTAATTCACATATGATTCACATGTAATTCACAAGCGAATCACATATGAAATATGAATTACATGTGATTCACACATAAATCACATGTAATTCACATATGAATCACATGTAATTCATAAGTGAATCAAGTATGAATTACATGTGATTCACATATAAATCAAATGTAATTCACATATGAATCACATGTAATTCTGTGTGAGTGTTCTTCGTTTTTATTTTATTATAAATTTCACATTTGAATTTTAAAAGATACAATCACATGTGAATATTAAATTATATAATCGAATATGAATCTTACATGATATATACATATGTATTTTTGTGAGTGTTCTTGCATTAATCATTTTTTTTAATCTTATTATAGATTTGAAAGAATTTGTGAAAAAATTTGAAGATGCAAAAAGTGATAAATTGAAGAAAATATGGAAATCTTGATATGAAGAAATGATAACATTGTGAATATTCTTTGAAGTTTTTTCTTATATATATATATATATATATATATATATATATATATATATATATATATATATATATATATATATATATATATATATTATTTGTATCGAACAAAATGTTTCTACCATTATATTTATAGATTCATTAATAAAAATAAGATCTTTTATAATTTACTTACGAACATTATAGTATAAGAAAATTTTTAGTTATTTATTGAAAAAAATGTAGTTGTTTTTATAAAAAATTACAGTTTTTTTTTTTGAAAAAAAATGCAGTTTTATTTAAAAAATTTGGAGTTTTTTTTTTTGAAAAAATTACAATATTTTTTTTTGAAAAAAATGCAGCTTTTTTATAAAAAAATATTGTAGTTTTTTTTGAAAGCATTGCAGTTTTTTTTTTTTTTTTTTAAAAATTGCAGTGTTTTTTTTTAAGCAGTTTTTTAAAAATAATTTTAGTTTTTTTTGAAAAAATTTGCAGTATTTTTAAAAATTTACATTTTTTCATTTATTTACAAAATTTATATCTGAAAAAAATTAAAAAAACTCCATTTAAAAAAAAATTAAAATCCGAAATTTGATTTATTATGTTAATTTTGTCCAATAACACAAAAAAATAAACATTAAATGAGATCGGTAAGATTACGATTATGCCCTTAATAAGTTAATTTTGATCTAACGCTCCACATTTAGTTTTCAGCACATTTATTTTTCAGCTTCTCAGGAAACTATGAGTTCTCAACCGATCTCAACCCTATATATATATATATATATATATATATATATATATATATATATATATATATATATATAACATTAAGTATATATTAATAACATATATATTGTTTCTACATTTATATGACTATGATTTTTATAAATATTAGACTAAACTGCACAAATGGTCCCTGTGGTATGTCGAAAATTGCCACTTTGGTCCAAAAAAGTTTGGACTAGCACCAGAGGTCCAAAGTTTTCATTTTGTTGCTTGTTTGGTCCAGTTTATTTTAAACTTTTTTAAAATACCAATTTTGCCCTTTGTATTTTCTTTTTCTATTTATTTGTATTACAATAATTAAAAAGAAAAGAAAAAAACTCACCTGCATCACTACCCTACCCCTCCCTGCACTTCCCCTTCTCTTCTCTCTCTCTCCCCCTCTCTTTCTCTCTGTGAATTTTCACAAAACGAAACTAACGTCACCACCAACTTCCGGCGAATGGGGGTTCCGACCACCATAGATTATTCTCGATCGGAGTAACACCACCTCTCCATTTCTTTATCTCTCTCAACAACATTATAACTCGATGAAGATAGTAATCCAAAGAACAGATGGTTTGGTCGGAGAAAGAATTTAGTTAGAAACAGAGGTTGGGACATACTAAAGAAGACGAAGGGCAGCGAAGACGTGAAAACCCAGATCGAAGTCGAAGGTGGCTTCATCCTTCAGTAGTTCTGATTTAAAAACCTAGATACACATCATCGTCTTCACACATCGATGGCGCCTTCATCTGGAAACTCGAGCCACAAACTCCGCCTTCGTTTCTCTCTCTTCTTCGGTGAGTCTCGTCCTTATCATATCCTTCTTCTTCTTCTTCGGCGAAAACCATCTATCGTCGACGTCTTTCTTCGTCGAAAACCCTAATCTAGATGAGATAAGGTAGAGGTGCTAGGGTTTCAGAAATTATTGATGGTTTTTATCAAAAATTGGGTTTACAGAGATGGTTTCCCGACGGAGAAGAGGAACTAAGCAGGTGAAAAGATGGTTATCGGTGGTAGTAATCGATTATGGTTTGTTGTATGTAATGTCGGCTTTCAGATTTGCCAGAGGTTGGTGGTGGTGGAGACGATAGGGGTTGAAGGTGGTGGTGACTGACGGCGACGACGGTGGTGTAGTCGGTGATGAAGGGTTCGTGAGAATTACAAAGAACAAACGAAAATGGAAGAATAGAGAGAGAGAGAGAGAGAGAGAGAGAGAGAGAGAGAGAGAGAGAGAGAGAGAGAAGAGAAAGAGATATTTATTTTTATTTTTATTTTATTTTTTTTAATCTAAAAACTAGAAAAGCAAATAAGAAAAAGGGAAAATCATATTAATAGGGGCAAATTTGTCATTTTATAAAAAATCAGAACATACTGGACAAAAAACGCAACAAAATGAAAGTTTTGGATCACTGGTGCTAGTCCAAACTTTTTTGGACCAAAGTGGCAATTTTCGACATACCACAGGGACCATTTGTGCAGTTTAGTCTAAATATTATATTATTCTATTTTATAAATCATACAATACACATATAACCTAATATAATTACATTTTAACATTAGAAAATAACTATAATATTAAAAATCATACTCATAAATTTTTTTAATAAAAGATTTTTGATATTCATGACAAACCTGACAGTATAATGACGCCGAATCAGAGTCGATACTCGTAGCTATATCAATTGAAAGTTCTCACACTTTCATATGCTTTTTAATTTTGAAACAAACTACCAACTACATATATAATACGCGTATCAGTTCGACGACTTTATTACACACATGTAAATATACGCATCACATATATATATTATATATATATTTTTTTATAAGCATAATGATCACTTATAAACTCGGATCCTTATATCATTCCCTATGTGACATATCACGTGACTATCTATATATTTATACAAACTATATATATTCCCTTTCTCCCATATACTATATATAATTTAAGTATTCACACCATATATTTGTGTCACGTGACACAACCAACTTATAAAAGCTAACTAGAAAGCCGACCAACCAATCTTATTCCGATTATTAAAGCTCATCGGAATATTAAGATGGTAGATCATACCATTAATGGGTGATTCAGTTCAATGCCAATAGTGTCATTGAAAGTTGAGGCAGCAATTCCAGGATCGATCGCCTGTGATTGATAATCCATCGTGGAAGCCGCCTCCGTCCATAAACCAGAGTCGTCAAACTCCGGCAGATTAGCGTTCAGATTCCCATTTGACGGCTTGTGATGTACGTAGTTCTCTCCTGTTCTAGCTTCGTGGCTGATTTTATGATTGTGAAAAGTATGATAATTTGCAACGGTGTTTGCATTAAGATCAGGGATTTCGGGAATTGTAGTGCTTTCTATTTTGATCTGATGATGATGTTGTTGTTGTTGCTGCTGCTGCTGTTGATGCATGTATATTTGTATTTGCCTTTCGAATTCCTGCTGCTTTTTCATTTGCTCGATGGCCCGATGGTACCTGGCTTCTTTGGCTGCCTCAGTAACTGCAGGTGGCGGAGGTGGAGCCGGAGCTGTCTCGTCGGGAAGATTGACATGGGCATTGGGTCCGTAAAGTCTCCGGGCAGCGGCGTCGTAAGCTATGGCAGCTTCACGGGCGGAGTTGAAAGTGCCCAACCACACACGGCTGCCACGGTTGGGTTCGCGTATCTCCGACACCCACTTTCCCCACGTGCGTTGGCGAACGCCTTTGTAAGTACAAGAAGCATTCTCCGGACCACCTTTCCCTCTCATGCACCCTTTTCTTGAACTCGCCTGAGCAGTCCTCCGCTCTTGCTTCCTCCCTCCTCCTCCGCCGCCGCCACCATTGTTTCCGACATTCATCAGAGAATTCAACATTTCTTTAACTCGATCTCCTGTAAATCTTATCACTTGGGACGGAGTGTACGGAGAAAAATCAGAGTTAAAAATCCTGACTTTATAGGGCAGAAGTGGAGAACAGATAAGTGTTTGTGTGTGAATTATATTCTCCATTGTTGGGTACGTGTCTTTGTGGAAGGAGAGTGAAATGGCAAAGGTTGGCATTGCACACGTGTTTTCAGATTGTGGATATGTTGTAGATCATCGCCATGTTTTTATGAGCATCCCATCTTTATATCTCACATTTCACTCATCACAGATGGACAGATGGAAACTGTCACCTTCTCTCTTTACTCCACTCTTGTTTCCATGGGTATTTCTGTCATTTCATTTGTCGATATTTCTTTTACCGTAATAATTATTCACCAATAATTTTATATCGATCGAACAAATATAAATGTCTACAGGTAGTCGCCTGATCAATATACACTATTAATAGAATGCTTTGTTGCATTGTTTGACCTACTATCTTCTTTGACTTTGCAGCAAATGCAGGAAGAAAATATATAGTTTTTATGAGGAACAATAAATAATAGATAAAATTACAAAAATGGTACATGTGGTATGTATTTTTTTGGAGTTTTAGTCCAAACTCCGATTTTTTTGGATTAATTGTCCTTTTGAACTAATTTCATTGCGTTTTTGGTCTCTCTGAATAAAAACGAGGTTTGCCGAGCAAAACACACCATTTCTCATTCTCTCTCTAAAATATTTCTCTCTCTAGGGTTTCTAACCCCCCCAAGCCCTAGATAAAACCCCTTATATAATAATAATAGTCAGACTAATTAATTTGTTGCGGTTATCGTTAGACTAAACCCTAGCGGTATTGCCATTATGTTTTATCAAAGGAAATTGTTTTGAGAGTATCGAAGCGCTGTTCGAGTACTAAGTCACCACCTTTCAAGTGAGTGCATAGTTACTTTTATCTTATACATAGATATGAAGTATTTTATATAAATTACGTGCTATGTGTGCATATTATCTGAATACTTGTAGTCTATGCTGGATGAACGATTCTATACATGTTTTAAATGATTTAAACTGTATATGTATTTTATATCTATGATAATGTTTGGGTAAAACATGGGTAGATGTAATAGATGGAATATGAGTTGGATGATGAGTTGAGAGGTGAAATAGACCGTAAGGTGAGGATGAGAGGTGGACGATGTGAGAAGCCTTTCTCCCAAATGATGGCCCCATCATTCAGCAGAGTATGGATGACAACCACGGACTATTCTAGACAGTCCAGTGGAACACTAGCAGGCTCGCAACCTATAGGTGTTGTGAACGACGTGTTCACCCGGTGTACTCTAAACCCTGGTGATCATGCAGACTTGATGCCTAAACCTTGGTGATCATGAAGACTTAATGCCTAAACCTTGGTGATCATGCAGACTTGATGCCTAAACCCTGGCGACTATGCAGACTTAGTGCCCGTTGCGTAAACCGTGGCAATGATGGACTTTGTGCCGATTCCTTAGGATAATCCTTAGGAACGAATAAACGAGGAATAGCTGATTCTTAGGGTAGATCCTTAAGAGTAAAGAAGATAATGGTGATGGGTAATTAGGTTTAACTGCTTGATTGTTTAAACATAATAATTATATTATTATGGGTTGAAAATCCTATGTACTCACCAGGTTTCCCAACCTGACCCACTCAGTTTATTTATATCACAGGTGTTGATATGAAGTCACATTACACTGAGAGATTTAAAGAGATATAGATCACTAGTATAAATAAATGTAAGTTCTGTTTATGCTTATGTTTCTGTATTAACGATGACATCCCAAACGTTTTGAAACGAATAAAATATGTTTCTTCGAAAATGTTTTAATAACGTATTTATCATGTTTTTCTGGGAACAAATTTCGTATTATTTTTATTAAAAGAAGAACTCTAATTTTTATAAAGCATAAACAAAATCGGTCTTTTCTGGCCGTGAAAATGGGGATGTCACAGTTGGTATCAGAGCATTAGTTTAAGCGAACTAGGAATATGGATTTATTTCTAGACTTAAACTTAGAATGCTAAGCGATGATTGTGAGGTGTGAGCACTAGATTATTTTAGGAATTGTGCCTAAAATGCTTTTATGTGCTAAATACTTGTGCCTGATATGCTGTTATTTGTTCGGATCTATGGTCTGTTGCCGACCGGATCTGGAAACCTTATGTGTTTAGGATTCTAAACGTTTAACTACGATATTAGAACTAGCATATAAACGTTTCATAGTGATAAGGATGATTTAACCGTCAATCCTAAGTAAAGGTCTAGATTCACCTTATTCGGTGTATAGATCAAGATGGCAAGAACCCGTAGCGGAAACGTGAATGCAAATGGTAACTGAAACCAGCCCCCAGTGATTTAGCAAATACCGGTTGTGGTAGCCGTTGCTGAGCCAATAACGATGGCTGGAGTGCAAGCAATGATCCAGGCGATGTTGGATCGTCAAATGGAGGAAACCAGACGTTTGCTCCAGCAAAATCGAGAGGAAGCGACTATTCAGATCGAACGGCCCGAGTTGAATGAAGGGCAAACTGAGGAGGAGAACTACAGTGGGACTGTTGGTCAAGTCAACCCACCAATAGTTCGACAAAACAACCACGACGACGAAGTCGAGAGGAATGGATGCAAGTACAAGGATTTTCTGACTTGCTAGCCATCGACTTTCACTAGAAAGGAGGATCCGATCGGGGTCATGGATTGGATCTCAGAGATGGAATTAGCTTTCATAACGTGCGGTTGCAAGGGAAAACAACAGATCACATTTGCAGTGCGTCAGTTTCGAGGAGGCGCTGTACGTTGGTGGAATACCTTGGGAAGACTCTGAACCCCAAAGAGCCCCTACAACTGACATGGGCAGAATTTCTGGTGCAATTCAAACGTAGGTACTGCTCAGCCCAAAATTTTCTCGAGCTAGAAAACCAATTCCTTACCTTGAAAAAAAGGAAGCATGTCTGTTGATGAATACACCAACAACTTCACGGAGAAGATGGAGTTTGCCTTATGTCTTGTTCCGGATGAGCTGACGAAAGTTGACAAGTATGCAAAAGGACTTCCATGGGAGTACATGGTGCCAGTGCGTCAGGCACCTACCTTGGAGGCAGCTATCTGGGCTGCCAAGTCGGTTGAGGAGATGATCAAGGGAAGAGCCGCCAACAAGACCAAGGTTGGCGAAAAGAGAAAGTTTGAGGGGTCTGCGAAGCCCGATGAGAGAAGCAAGTCCAGTACAAGGAAGTTTAGAGGAGGAGGGAGTGAAGAAAGATGGTGCGAGAAGTTCAAAAAGAAACACTCTAGAAAATGAGGTGAGGAGGTAACTTGTTTCAAGTGTGGGAAGCATGGGCATTATGCCAACGAGTGTAAATTCAACAAAAGGGTGTGTTACGAATGTAACGAGGAAGGGTACTTCAAGCAAGATTGCCCAAAGAGAGAAGGGGCTACAAAGCCAAATGTGCCGCCAAAACCAAAGGCAAGAGCATTCCACATGATCCTCGACAAAGCAGAAAACCATGCAAGGAATCAAGGATGAGGACTTCATATCCGAAGATCAAGTTATGCAGTAGCCATAGTGTCGTATGATGTAGCCTATTAGAGGCATAGTCTAGGGTGAACTTGAACACATATGTAATAGTTTCAAGAAATAATAAAACCTTCGTTTTGTTATCTGATGTGTTAAAATGTTATGTGATTTTCTTGTATGGTGACTTGGGAAACTGCGCGACAATACTTGGGACGAGTATGAGTAGGTGTGAATGGTAGTAGATGCCTATACTATCGGAAGCACATGACTCACACTTGGATCATGGAAAGTTACAAGGTTACCAAGAAGCTAGAAATTGATTTCTTTTTATTCAAGTATGTCGTTACCATTGTTTCGGTAAAGACTAAAAGATTGTTGTTATCCCGACCCTAGTGGTCATATCACATTGAGTCCGACTATGATGAGTAGGTTACGTGGTTCAGAGAACCAAGTTTGATGTAGCGTCCGACATAAACCAAACGATTGAAATCAAAGCGATCAATAGAAGTATCGCTCTCATTGTTAAAGATGTTGGTAGCTAGAAATGCTACATGTTAAAATGTGATTATATCACATTAGACCATGAAGGAAGGCAAATTCCATTCTAGAATTTGACTCTAAGAGACCTGAGTCTAAGGATTGCTACATACGATGATAGGTCATTAGAATATGACACATCGGTCAATTGTAGTAATCAAATTAACTTATCCTAAGTTTGTTAAGAAGAAGAAGGAGTCTTTGATAAAGAAAGAAGGTCACAACAAGCAGGTGCAAGACCAAGCACTGCCTGCAATCAAGGAGTCCAAGAGTTAGATACCCGTTCAAAGCAACATAGCAGTTACAGTTATTACCTAGGATGAAGAGATGACGTATGGAGTCATTATACGAGCCCTTTTTCGTTGATTATTCCGGGACGTAATCATCCTAAGGGGGAGATAATTGTAACGCCCGTAGATCCGGGATAGTCAATTTAGAGACAATAAGTGTCGAAAACGACTTTTCGACAAAAGATTATTTAGAATAAATAATCTTAACCAAGTTGTAGAATATGTTACAAGGTTTCCGTACATATAAAGAACGCCGAAATCCGAGTTATAACGAAGAAGTTATGACCCGTTGAAGTTTCGCGACGGAACCGATACGATACCGGGAAGCGTAAATAGTGAACTTACGATAGAGCGAGATTTAGCCTTGGCGATGTAAATGAAACTCGTAGAATATGCTAAACTAAGAAACATTGATAAAAAGAACGCCCAAATCTGACTTCGTATGAAGAAGTTATGATTTTTCGAAGTTTCGAGTTGGCAGTGTACAACCCGAAATTCGAATATTAGATTGAGCGATTTTTAGCCGAAACGACCTAAACGAGAATCGAAGATCTGGTTAAGAGTAGAATAACGAGAAAAAGATGGGCGAAAACGGACTTCGGATGAAGAAGTTATGAGGATTTAACGGACCAATCCTGTCCCGGCCTATTAATAATATAAAATTTAAAAGAGAATCAAAATTAGCCGATGGAGTCTAAACGAAAGTTGTAGAGTACGTTCCCACCTTCGCGTGGATATAAATAACGTCAAAAATAGATCTCGTATGTGAATGTTACGATTTTTGGAAGTCGAGAGTGAAATTTGCGAACTCTGT